TGTGCTGGGCTGTTATGGCTGCTGAAATGGGGAACTGGTCCCTTCATTCCCCCATTTTCTTTTTTGGAGATTCAAATCATGGAATTGCAGTCTCTCCAGCGTCCTCATCAGGGAGTGAGAGATATTGGCACCCCCCATGTAAGGGAGTTCCTTTTGACTTAGCATTTCAACCAGGGAAAATGGGTGACATATTCTTTCCCATGCTACTTCCTCTGACTTTGAGATGAAGTTAGGGACCCAAGAAGGTCGAAATGCTAGTCAAAAGCAAAAAGGGAATTTAGGCAATGGGGAATCCATCAGGAGCTTATGGTTGGCAGACTCTGTTGCAGAGACAGGGCGTGTCCACATCAGCTGGACTGGTTCACATTCACAGCATGTCCAGGGCTTGCAGTCTACTTAGGCACAGCCTGTAGTCAGCAACTGATACTCAGATGTGTCTGCCAGAAGCAGAAACCTGTTTAAGACATGTTTAAACTGGGAACAGACATTAAAACTTATTTACTGAAGCCCATAGTGCAGAAGAAACAGATATCTGGATATCTGTTCAAAAACCAGGAACGTATTTATAATTGAGTCCTAGCAAAAACTACAGATTTGGGTTAGAAGTGTGTACATTTTTCTTCTGTCCAGAGAGCCAGGTATGGATTGGACAGAGGTGCCATTGGCCTGATGAAAAGCCTTTAAGTTTATACTTAGATGATAACCAAAATAAACCTAAAAACCTTGAGCTTGTGACTGAACAGTAGGTAGTCACTACTTTATCAGCTAACATGCTGACTATAGTCTTGTGGATCTGACTGACTGATGTTGTCAAGCTGACAACCATTAATATTTCAGAGATCTGAGAACGGTAAATTTTATACAGTTTCCGAATCTACTAAAAAGCACATGTTACTGTCATGGCTGCCAAATAGGCAGGCATCTGACCTCCTAGTGACCAAGGCAAGGTCAGGTCAGCTGTTATGGCTGCTGAAATGGGGAGCTGTTCCCTTCACATCAACTCACTAGTGTGTCGTGAGGGATTCTTAGGTGGTACCTTCTTGCTGCACCCTCATAGTGCAGAAGGCATGGAGGCTCCCTGAGACTCTTTTAAACGGCTTATCAGGAGGGAACCCTCATAGTCTTCAAAGGGCCTTTCCCCTCAATACCATCACATTTTGTATTTTGATGGGGACTGATTTCAGACCACGTTACAACCAATAACTCTAAAGGTAGGCCCTGTCTCCTGTAAGCCAGTCACACAGCAATCTTTCTACCCTCTGCAGTATGGATGTAAAGTGCCTTTTATATAGCCAGTGCAGGGAGGCAGAGGCAAAGGATCACAGGTTCAATGCCAGCTTGGGCTACATAGTGAGACTTTCTCTCAAAAAACAAAACAAAACAAAAACCAAAGCTCCGATATGTCATTTTATCTGCAGCACACAGGCTGCGCCTGATCCTATCCCTGCCTCAGCTGATGACTGCCTCCATAGCAGCAGCCACCTCCAAGCATGCAGCCCAGGGGGCTAGGGGCACTTCACATCCCCCCAGGGATCCCTCTGCTCTTGCCTGAGTCACCTTCACTTCCCAAGCCATTAAAAAAAACAAACAAAACAAAACTAAGTCTCTATCGTCCTATTTTACCAATAAAGACTCAGGAAGCAGATGCTGGAATAAAACCCTGCTAGCTCGGAGAGGCAGAGAAAGCAGCCAGCTGACCTTTCTCCTCTGCTGTAATCCCCCAAAGAGTCTTTTTCTCCTGCAACATCTGAAACAAAAACCAGATGTCCCTCTCCTCTACTTCCTGTGCATCTCTCTATGACCTCCTAACTTCCCTTCACTCTCTATGGTTGCTTCCAGTCAACTGGTTGCTTGCTCCACCTCTTGACCTATGGTTGATTTTATTTAAATAATGCAATCTCAGTGTGATCAAATATCCCACAACACTGATAACCTTTACTGAGGATTTCCCCAGGTGGTAGCAAGGACTCCTATCTGTTCCACTCCTTCAGTGAATGGTTCCTGCTGACAGGGCTACCTCACCTAAGACAGCCCTCAGGATACAACTAATATGTGGGCACAAAAAGCCAGATTGCTTTCAAAGAGGCAAAACTTTGCTTTGGTGGCTTACACTCCCTGCTGTAGGTTTAACACCGAATGTCCTCCTTTGGGCCATGTATTAAGGGCTGAAGTCCTCAGGGTTGTGCCATTGGAGGTAGGTAACCTTTAGAAAACTCAGGCCTTCGATAGGAGGTCCTTAGGTCACTAGGGAGGTGTCCTCAAGGGAGACTGTGGAACATGACCCTCTTCTTTCCCTTTCTTTCCATGGTTCATGATGAAAGCAATAGTGTACCCCCATGGGCACCTGCCATGCCATGCTGCTTAACTACAGGCCCAAACAAGGAAATGGATGACAGGTTATTGAGTCAAAAATTTTTTTCCTTTCTTATAAACACTTTTAAAAATCATTTTTCTTTATTTGAAGTAGGGTCTCACCATGTTGTTTAGGCTTGCCTTAAATCTGTGAGCTCAGGAAAGATAGCTCAGTGGTTACAAGCAGTATTGCTTTTGAAAACAGATCACAGGACCCACATCAGGCAGCTCACAATTTACCTGTAATTACAGCTCCAGGAGATCTGATGCCCTCTTCTGGCCTCTATGGTCAGTGTGCTAGCATGGGCACCACATAATTAACTTATTTTACAAAGGTTTAACCAGTTGTCTCTAATAACTTATTGAAAAATCTGTGTTTCCCTATCAAATTGAAAGGGAAGTCTATCAAATATCAATTATGCTTACACATAATTATGCTTATACTTAATTCTATCTCTATGTTTACTCTTCAATTTTATTAATAACCCCCCACCAGAACCAAACTGGTTTAATTGATGCAATAAATATGCTTTCTTGAGTCCTGCCTTTCCTTGGCTGTGCTGATTGCCAAGTTTTAACCGTTATTTATTTTTTTATCCTCCAAGTAGACCTAAGTTCCTCTAGAGCAGGAACTGTTGCCCAAGTAGTTTAATATCCTCAATAACTTGGTTGTTTGTTTTTCTTAGTAGCTTTTTATCCTGCTTGCCCACCCCATAATGCATTGTATTAAATAACTTCTCATTTGTTAAATTTTGAATGCTAAAAAAGTGCCAAGTAAAGATGTGTAAATCAAAAAGGTGAACTCATGTAAGGCTCAAATTGACAGCCTTATTGCTGTAATGAAAGGGAACTGGGATGACAGTAACCAGCCTGCAAGATTCGCTCGTGTAATAGTGGCACAAAGCCTGTGGGAGCAACCAACCAATACCTGATTGGATTTAAGACCAACTCCACGAGATGAACTCATCCCCAACACTGCTCAGGTGGCCAAGAACCTGAGACCAGATAGACTGGTGACCTAGGAGAAAACCAAATACTTCTGTTCTGCTAAAAACACAGCAATAAAATGACTCTTAATGACATTTTGCTATACTCATAGATCAGTGCTCACCAATCAATGAGGAGGCTTCCTCCTGCAGTAGATGGGAATAAATATGAAGACCCACAGATGGACAATATACAGAGAGTGAGAGACCTTGGAACACTCAGTCCTCAATGGGATGTCTCTATCAATTCCTTCCCCTCAGGGATCTGGGAATCCCAGAGAGGGGGAAATAGGGAGATTGGAAGAGCCAGAGGGGATGGAGGACACCAAGGAAACAAGGCCTTCTAAACACAGCAGGCCCCATACATAGGTGAACTAAAAAAGATTCTGAAGCAGCATGCACAGGGTTGCGCAGATCTGGGCCTGATGGGGTCCCAGAGCTGAGAGAGGAAATGAACATCAGCCCATATCCTTAACCTATCTCCAACTGTTAGCTGTTCACAAATGAAAGAGTAGTTTTCACTAGGTACACAAATCACTCTTGAGGGCAGGCCCCAGAACCAGCCCTAGATTGCCAACACAAAACAAACTCATTGGAATTTTTGGGTGTTCCTTGTCTCAGATTTTTTTCCTTACAAGTGCTTTTCATGTATGTTATAGTGAAGAAACCAGCTCCCCATTTCGGCAGCCATAACAGCCGAACACGTGCTTGTCTGACCTTGTCTTAGTCACTAAGGTCAGATGCCTGCCCCTTTCGGCAGCCATGACAGTAACACGTGCTTTTCTGATCTTGCCTTGATCACTAGAGGTTAGGTGCCTGCCTCATGGCAAGGAACCAATCAGAAGTTAGCTGATGGCGCTATGCTTTACGGCTCTGGGTGTGCTTTACAGACAAGCACACAGCAATGACGCACAGAGCATAGCAACCACCCTGGGAGGGCCTATGGGCCATAACAACCAATTGGCCAATCAACACAGGGCAAACCCTCTAAGCCTGGAGGCACACCAATCCTGAGCCTGTGCATACCCCTAGACACTCCCCTTACACTGCCCTACAAGATCTCTCTGCAGCCCCTTGGAGCTGTCTTTGCTAGCCATCTGCCATGGCGGGTGGGTGAAAGACCTGAGCTAACATGGGGTTAGCTCGTTAAATTACAATAAAGCCTCGTGCAGTTTGCATCAAGCTCTCGAATCTGCCTGGTGATTGGGTTGACCGCAGTCCTGGGCTGAGACTCCGGAGGCCTGAGTTTTCCTGGAGTCTAAGAATAGTTTTGTGTTTTTATGGGATTGTGTGT